GTTCTACATAAAGTCGAATGGACTGTCCCTGGGCCATTGAACCGGACCCGTCGATTGAGAAAAGAAAATGCCTCTTGCTATCCAGCTGCATCATGAGATGTGGGCATTGAAGGACACTAGTGGGACGGAAAAGTTTGAAACACTTTTCGGTTCCGTACTACCTCTCAGTGTTCACCTTGCGCTGGTGCCATGTTTACAATGAAGGAGCGAATTCAGACTCCAACGACGGGTGTTGTTTCAACCGACGTTCAATCGGCCGACGGCGTTGCTAGCCAAGGGTTGACAACGCTGGACACCGATCAATAGTGGCTGGACACAATCTGTCCTGCGTTGTCTACACGTGGCCAGCAACGCTGTCGGCCAGTCGATCGGCTGTCGGTTGAAACAACGCAAGTCGTTGAAGTCTGAAAACGCTCAATGGGCTGAGGTGTAACACGATCATATACGGGAATTCGTCAGAATCGGAAAATATGGGGTTGCTAAGCGTTTTAAGAACTACAGTAATATTCGCTCCTTTTCCGTGATCCTTCCATTCACCCATTTTCTGCCCTACTTCGACGTGGTTCAGTGAAAGACCAGGTAAAATGACAACTAAAATGACTCACTCTGTATCCGGGAGGAAGAGGGCGAGGCAAGTGTGCTCGAGCCCTGTCGTATGATGCCGGAGATGGACCGGGAGCTGTCACCTGTCCCATTTTCGTACGAACACGAATTGCTGTGGGTGTGTTGGCTCGCGATGACGGGGACAATGCCATGGTGGACGGTGAACGACTGTGTGACATTGACGTACTTGGATGTTCTTGATGTTGTCGTCGCTGCAATTTGTAATATTTGATAGACGTGACTAACACTATTACGTAGGTGACCTCTGCGATAAGTTTCTCAGGTGAATTAGGGTAATTTACATAACATTCGTTTTTTTGTCCAGGTAGTGGCTTATTTTTGGTTATCTTTTAGTATTATATCCAGCTAGAATGTCACTGGGCATGCTCGAGAACAGCTTGAATCAAGAAAACAAACCTGTTGTTGTTGTTGTTGTTGTTGTTGCTGTTGTTGTTGCTGCTGCTGCTGTTGTTGTAATTGTAGTTGGCGCTGTTGTTGTTGTTGACGAGAGCCTGCTTCCCTGCGTTTTGAGTTATAGGTTCTCTCAGAATGATGTACTGACGCCGGTGGACTGGACACATCATGGACAGAGCCGTAAGGTATTGACTGAAAGTTGCACTGGATACATCCATACATAACAAAAGGCTATGACTTTTTGTTGGGATATTGGAACAGGGGTTGAATATCGGAATAGTTTAGGGCCTGGGAAGCAGGTCCGATGATCCTAATTGGTTCGGTTGTATCTTGGACCAAGAACAACTCGGCAATCGCTAATAAAGGGGGTGCTGGGCCATCCTTAACTCTGCCCCAAGCGGGCGGTGCACCAAGGCTTCCTCTGGCTTCATTGTATGATTTCAGATGGATGGATCTTAAGCTTGCTCCGACAAGTTATGACTAGGACTGTTCCTTTCTTTTTTGAAAATAGCTAATTCATCAGCCACAAGTGATTGGCGTCTTGTAGGGCTCAACCTCTCTCAGGGCGGCGGTGATGTAGTGGCAAGTCGGCTTACCGCTATCATCTGTGACTATTACACGCGCACGATC